AATAAATAAATAACTATTAATTTGGCTTTGATTTGGCTGAAATTGGCTACCCATAATGTTCAGGAACTCAGTTGGTCTTCAGTTGGTGCCCTGACTAGCCATTCAGACTACAGCTATCTCTGTCTAAGAAGCTACACCTGGCCCCCAACAGTGGCCACGAAACCTTTGGGATATGTTTATATTAATTTTGGAGCTAACCATGAGAAGTTGGTTCACAGCCTGAGGAAGATGGAAGTACCATCAAAAGCTCACTTTATTTTTTGTTTTATTTTCTTAATGGTCCAGTGAAGGTATCACCTGTTCCTTCATCCTCAAGAGTGTACTTTATGAGCAGATTTCAGCAAGTGAGACTATCTGTAAAAAGGCCTCATTTGTTGATATTAACAAATGCTCACACTAAGATAGGTGCTCTCACAAATAGCCAACCCCTGAACTATTTAGAGCTCCAAAAGTTAAAACCAGTGCTAAGTGCATGTGTTCCTTTGGCCCTCAAAATGTGGAAATATTATGTGGCCCTCACGGTGAAAAATTTGGAGACTCCTGTTCTAGAGAGTTGATCATTATCTAATTCAGCATCACCAACATGGATAAAGAGGAGCATCTAGCCTGTAGTAGGCCACTGCATTTTGTAACTTGACAGTGATCCTGATGATGATGAAAAAGATGGCATAAACAGAAAGGAATGTTTTTCCCTAGCAAAGTGTTTGAAGTGTGTATATCAGGATGTCTCAATGGCTGAAATCCTGTTGCTGAGCATATAATAAGTAGAGTAGGCCAATTGAATCATTAGATATTTGGTGAGTCAAGTTCTTCATAAATTCTGTTAATCCAGTGGATGTACTCCAGCTTCACCTTACTACCATAAGTAACAGGATTTCAGCCATTGTTTACTAATGTTATCACCTGTGAGATACTGAAAGCACCATCACAAGAAAGAAAAGTAGATCTAAAGCAACCATAGGGAGCTTTGAGATGATCTAAGAGATAAAAAGGACATATATAAGACATGGAAGAAGCAGGAAATCATTAAAGAAAAGTATGCATGAAAGACAAGAGAGAATATGAGCCAGCAGTTATAGGAAGAAGATCAAGGGAACTAGAGCTCAGAATGAACTCAAACTTCGACAGAAATCAAACAAACGAATAGAAATGGGAATTCAGCATGCTTGAAGCAAAAGAATGGAGGAAGAAGTTGTATGCTCACTGTGAAAGGATGGAGGAATATTACAGGATGACAGAGAAGATGGAACTGCTACATAAATGCCTGCTTTGCCTCTGCCCTCTCCTGCTATCCACATTAAGTAAACAGGTCGGATGGGAACACTTGGCTACTTTAAATGAATTCAAGTCTACAGGGCCAAATAATCTACACCAAAGGATACCAAAGGAACTTGAAGATGCAATCTCAGAGTCTCTGTCTATAATCACAGAGAATTTTTGGAGGCTAGATGAGCTCCATGAAAACTGGAAAAAGATACAAGCCATCCCCATCTCAAAAAAATGATGTCCTTGAAAATTGGAAATGGGCTAATGTTGGCCCCCCCTTTTAAAAGGGGGGAAGGAAAGATCTGGGCAATTACTGAGCTGTCAACTTGACAGCAGGCTATAGAACAGATAATTTAACAATCTATGAGGATTTAGGAAATAACACAATGATTACTAAGACCCAATATCAAGTTACAATATACTGTATATTTAATGTGCTTCTTCAATATCTTCCATGAACATTATTTTTCCAATCACTTTGAATTGTGGACAATAATAAATAAAAATTACCACCTTCTCAATTGTTTTTTCTCATAGTACAGTACCAGTGCATTGCATATTGCAACTCAGAATGGACATACACCTTTGGTCAGATTTCTTATCAATAAAAATATAGATCTCGATGCTCGATCTGAGGTAAGTTATTTTCCCTTTATTTTCATGCACATTCAGTAGTGGTAAGTGATATGTGCATAATTTATAACACAAAAGAAGAACTACAGCCTGCATAAATAATGAGAATAAGCCAATAAGTCATGCATGTTTAGCTTTGCTGATTTCAGCAGGAGGGAGTTAGGCTCATGCTTGGCTCCTCCAGTGAGATCATTAAAAGTTAAAAGCAGTTAATAGTGGCAGGATTGTGCCTATCAGCTTTAATTTTTAAAAAATCAGGAGTCATGTACTCAATCCCGGGCGTGCATATTTAGAAGTAAGCATGAGTGAGTTCAGTGAATGTTCCTCCCAGATATGTGTGAACACAGTTGAAACCTAAATTTGCAAATGAAAGATCTACACAATATATGCTGCAATGTTATAAACATTCCCACAACAAGGAAATACTTTTTACTGAAAAATCTATACATCCCAATCTTATCAATACAATTGGTTCTACAAGCAAAATCAAGTAGTTCACTAATTAATGGTCAAAGTCCTGTTGCTTAGCGCAGTAAGTAGCACTGGAGAAGATCCATTGTTCAATGGGGACTTAGTGAGTCAAGTCCTCCATTCCGTTGATTCTAATGGGACTATTCTAACTGTGACTTGGTATACTAAGGTAAGCCACAGAGTCAGCCCATTTGAATCTATGGAGCTTAAGGAGGAGTTGACTCTACAAATTAATTCATTGGGCCTGTGTTTAGTCATTTAGTCGTGTCCAACTCTTCGTGACCCCATGGACCAGAGCACGCCAGGCCCTCCTATCTTCCACTGCCTCCCGGAGTTGTGTCAAATTCATGTTGTTTCCTTCGCAGACACTGTCCAGCCATCTCATCCTCGGTCGTCCCCTTCTCCTCTTGCCTTCACGCTTTTCCAACATCAGGGTCTTTTCCAGGGAGTCTTCTCTTCTCATGAGATGGCCAAAGTACTGGAGCCTCAGCTTGAGGATCTGTCCTTCCAGTGAGCACTCAGGGTTGATTTCCTTTAGAATGGATAGGTTTGTTCTCCTTGCAGTCCAGGGACTGCAATTTACTATGTGAAGCAACAAGTTTTGGCCAATGAGAAAATAATTTTAATATTCTGGCACATTTTGAGTTAAGACTGTATACAGATTCATCAGTTTGGGATGTAACTTGAAGACAGTTGGGTAACGTTAAACAGTTAATCCTTATTGGTATTATCTGAGTAACATATTTTGTTTGTTCCTAAAAGATTTTCCTCGTATTTTGAAATCTTGGCCAACCCTGCTGGTACAGTTTCATTTACTTAATTTCCCACCAGCTGTTAATGGTAGATAAGGTTCATCTAGGCATCATTTCCTGAAGCATAATTTAATGCTGCTTCTAATACAGTGGGGTCTCTACTTAAGAACGTCTCTACTTAAGAACAATCCAACTTAAGAACAGCTCCATTTGCTAAATTTTGCTTCTACTTGAGAACAGAAATCCAAGATAAGAACAGGAAAAAAAAACTTTCCTGCTCTTTTTTTAACCTTAGGTCATCTTAGGTTAAAAAAAATTCTCCCCCTAGTGGTAGAGTACGTATTAACCAGCTTTGCATTAGTTCCTATGGGAACTAATGCTTCAATGTACGAACGCACCTCTACATAACAAAAAAACAGCCAGAA